GGGTCTGTTTCTTTGTGCTGTTTTGCGATGGCAGTGTGCCCATCGTCTACACAATACGTGTGCAGTTTAACTGAGTGTTTGGGTCAATGTGGCTTCTCCCTCATGAAGGTAAATAAGAAAATAAAGTGTTCAAGCATCATACAGTGGAGTGGTGGTGATTCAGTACCTGCGTCACAGTTGCTCTGTTTGGGGTCGTATCGCTGAGCTGAGAGGCTTCGAGCATGACGCTCCCTGATCTGTTCCTTTTCCATCTCCTCCTTCAAAATGAGCTTCCCCAAACCAGACTGGATCTATACACACACACACACACACACACACACACACACACACACACACACACACACACACACACACACACACACACACACACACACACACACACACACACACACACACACAAATGTATGAATGTTACTAAGAGGTTTCTATTGTTAGATATATGTTCTGTGCATGTATTTTAGCGGTGGTAGTGATTCAGTTCAGTCGCACTGACCTTACTGAGATGTTCCTCCTGGAGCTGCTTTCTCTTCAAGGCCTCCTCCTCCTCGTCTTCTCTGGATCGCCGCCTCCCTTCTGAACCTACGGGTGCCACACACAGGCCAAAAAGAGAATGCATAAAATCACACATGTAAAGACAAGGCAGGACACCATGCTTCACACGTTCTCAGTGTCGTGAAACCAGAGTTGTACATCAACAGTGGAGTGTAGACGGACAGAAAGATGGCTGCTTCTGTGAGGAGTGCACACAGAAGACGAATTGGACAGAAAAAAGACACAAATGTGAGACAGAGCTGACGAGACAGACGAACAGAGGGACGTATTGGAATATCAGGTCGCATTGACGTGATGCATGTTGTCTCTGCATGTCAGGATTTAACTGGATGTTACAAACACAGAACAGCACAATGTAAGACAGACAGAAAACAGTTTGAAGTCCGTCTCAGTTATCTCTGTCCGGGGATTTGTGGCACTCGAGTGTATCACTAGTAAGGTTGCCAAAACTTTAAATTCTTTCAAACTTTTTTGATACCACGTGATTTAAAACGATAACATCTGTTATTTTAATAATAGTTAGAATCAAAAGGTACCAAAGCTTTAAATAATCTTCTGTCAAATAAGGTCACATATTCTCCTCCTCTTCAACCAGTGTAAATAAGTCTCAGAGCTCCTCAAAACACGTGTGTGAAGTTTCTTGTTCTAAATCCACTCTGGTCCTGTATTTGATCATGTCTATAAACCCCTCTATTTCAGCCCTGCTCAGAACAGGCTGTTTCTGTGTCTGTACCTTTAAATATGTAAATGAGCTGTGTCTGACCATGCCCCCTCTCTGGAAGGGCTTGGGTGTCTCTGGCTTTCTCGCTCCATGTTTACGGTGAGAAGGCAGACTCAGAGGGTCAGAACAAACACCCAGCTGTGGGAGTGTCACCCACCTGGGGGAGGGGTTACTGCCCTTTGTGATGTCATGAAGGGAAAATCTTCAAACGGCCTGTTTGAGCACACATTTTCTGAAAAGTGGAGCAGGCAGAAGACGGAGAGGATGGACTTTTCTCATCATTGGGGGGTTTGTAGACAGACTAGAGACACATGTTAGAGTTAGAGGAACATGGGGAAGTGGATTTTACAGAATATGTGACCTTTGACCAAAAGCTGCCATGAGAGAGAGAGAGAGAGAGAGAGAGAGAGAGAGAACTGTCTAAATTGCACAAATATGTCTGCAACAAAAAATGTTGCAGACATATTTCTGTAACTTAGATAGTGTGCAGGAGTTTGCCTAATCAAACACAAGAAGTTACCCAATATTGGGAGCATAGGACTTCTCTTTTTGTTGCCGTGGTATCAAAACAGGTATCAATGTCGTCAATTTTATCAAATCATGTCAACGTTTAAAAACATGCTATGATGACAACCCTAAACACTAGTGCACCTACATGTACAGCAGCTGAAGGTGATGTTAATGCTTCTTCAAGCAGAAAATAATAAGGCAGCAAAAGAAACCAATAAAATGTTTCTCCTCTGTGCAAACGAAACTTAAAGGCAAATATTAAAAATGCTGAAAAACAGCGTGAGCTCAGAGTGAAGCGGGGGTGCAGTTAAGCGTTTACGGCGGCTAGCAGACGTGTCAGGTGTCTGTTTCTGCGAGCATGCCCGTCAAGAGCCTACTGTACCTAACACAACGAGAGAGCAGGGCCAACGGTCGCCCTCGCTCCTCGAGCTGTCGTCCGGAGAGGGAGCGTGGGCAGCGGGGAAGGTGGCGGATCTGATGATGTCATCACCAGCCTTGCTGTGGCGTGCTATGGCGGCCATATCTAGGTTGGTAACCATGGGAACTGATCTATCAATGTCTGGGTCAAAGCCGCAACCACAGGGAAACATCGTAGCATCATTAGATGTGTAATACATACAGAAGACAGAGAGGTTTACATTCACATGAGAGTTTAACTGCTCTGTTCTTCTGAAACCAGCGTCTCAGCTGCACTCTGAGGGGATCAGCATGGGGGTTGCACAGACTTGTTGACTAGATGACTTTGCAGCTGTGTGGTGACGCTTTATGCCTAATGTCGACTAATTGCTAATAAGGATAGAAAAGCCCTGTGACTGAGCAGGACTCTGACAGTGAGTTGGTAGAAATGGTGTGATTACTGATTTTTTTCTTTCCCATGCATCAAAGCACACGGTCTGCTTTCAGTGTGTTAAATGAGTCAGCCCCAATAGAGCCCCATGTTAAAATGTCCAACTTTACAGCTGCAGTTCCTCCAGTGTCCACTAGAGTCTGTCTCCTGCAGTGAGTCAGTCCCCATAGAGCCCCATGTTAAAATAAACTTGTTTACAGCCTGGTACTAAAACAGTTTGGGTCTCTAGGGCTCTGTTGACATTATATTAAGGCTTAAAGGGATGTAGAATTAGGGGTGTGGCCTCTTTGAGTGACAGGTGGGAGCTGCTAGATGTCTGCTAGGCCTCTCCTCAGCTAACTCAGTCACTGGGCTTTGGTTTCTTTAGTCTAATAAGTAAACATCTCTGGTCATTGGTAACTAGCTCATATGCAAGCTAAAGAATTAGCCACTGTTTAGCTTTGGTAACTTGGTGGTGAGCTGTCAACGCTGTTTTCAGCCTCAGGTTGACTTTAACACAAACATCACGCCTCACAAAAGGCTGATGAAAACAACATTACTACAGTGACTAGTTAGGACAACGTGCAGCGAGAGACACGCTATAGACAGGAGAGACAGACTTCAAACAGCGACACTGAGGTGACTACATGGTCAGATGAAGTCACAGACTCTGTTGAGTACAGTAAGAGAAGCTTTCTCATTAAAGAACCTCACAACTCACTCAGTCATTCTTTAACAGTCAAACAGGAAGTAGAATAAGAGTAAAGGTACCGTGCTGTTTGTAGATCGGTGGCTTCCTGTAGATGTTGCTCCCCTGATCTGAAAAAACAAAGAAATCAAATCACGATAAAAAATACTTTTAAAGGGTGAACAGATCTTGATTTGAAAGACGATGGAAAAAACACAAGCTGATAAAAAACGGCAAATAGACACACAGACAGACAGATACACAGACACACAGACAGACAGACAGACAGACAGACACACAGACAGATAGACAGACACACAGACAGACAGATAGACAGACACACAGACAGACAGATACACAGACACACAGACAGACAGACAGACAGACACACAGACAGATAGACAGACACACAGACAGACAGATAGACAGACACACAGACAGACAGATAGACAGACACACAGACAGACAGACAGATAGACAGACACACAGACAGACAGATAGACAGACACACAGACAGACAGACAGATAGACAGACACACAGACAGACACACAGACAGACAGACACACAGACAGACAGATAGACAGACACACAGACAGACAGACAGATAGACAGACACACAGACAGACAGATAGACAGACACACAGACAGACACACACAGACAGACATACAGACAGACACACAGACAGACAGACAGACAGACAGAAACACAGACAGACAGACAGACAGACAGACAGACAGACAGACAGATAGACAGACAGACAGACAGAAACACAGACAGACAGACAGACAGACAGACAGACAGACACACAGACAGACAGACAGATAGACAGACAGATAGACAGACACACAGACAGATAGACAGACAGACAGACAGAAACACAGACAGACACACAGACAGACAAACAGACACACAGACACACAGACAAACAGACAGACAGACAGACAGACAGACAGACAGACCGACAGGCACAGAGATGGACAGATAGACAGATGGAGCGACAGATATACAGACAGTATTAAAGAAATCTTAAAAAAAAAAAAAAATGAAGCAAAAAAAAGACAAATATAAAGTTAAGAAATAAAAAAAAATTTAAAAGTCAATTAGGAAATAGAGTCAAAAAGAAAGATAAATACAAATGAAAGAATTAAAAAATATCTGAGAAAAAAATCTAAAAATCAATCAACAGAAAAAAATAACAAACAGAAAAAAAACAGAAACAGAGACAAAGACAACCCAACAAACATTTAGAGGATGGTGGGACGAGCAGTGACAGGGTGCGCTCCCACTCCTACCTGGGAGGTGGAAATGTTTAGGGGTCAGAGAGAGAGGCGGGGTGATCGGCCGGCTGTCGGGCCTGAGCGGGAGGGGGGAGCTCCGGCCGCTCGGGGGGTCGGTGCCTCCATGAGAAGAACCAAGAACAGAACGTAAGCAGGGACACTAAAGAGGGGAGGAACAGCGTGAAGGCTGCCACACACAGGGGGACACACGGGGTCAGATGGACTCTGATTGGCTCTGATAGAGGTTAATGAAGCTGGGTGTGAACATGAAGGTACCAAAGCACATTAAACTAGCAGAGTTAGACATGACAAGGTTAGATGCTGAGTGATCTGGGATGAGTCATGAGGTTTCATGTTAGTCTGATTCACGGCTCAGTTGTTCACACCTCCCAGCTGCAGCATGCATCACAACCTTCCTTCTGATGTCAGCCTGACAGTAAACCAGAACCTGCAGAGATCCCTCTGTGTGGATGTAGGATTGTGATTATTAGTCTCTCTCTGGTGGAAAGAGTCTGGATGCTGCTCTCTGACACCTCGGGTCTGACAGTGATCGCATGGAGGGTCCAACACCTTCATTTATAGGAATTCAGTTTGGTGCACTTTGGCGCCCACCAAAGGTCTGCGAGTGCAACTAAACTGTCAAAAATCACACAGCAGCAATGTGCATCTGTTGACAATCAGAGGGCGGAGAAGTGGACAAAGACGTTGTGAGTTGAAAAAGAATCATGTCCACTGATGAAATTCAGTATTATTACAGGATGTAGATCAAATCTGACTCTGCTAGTGTCTACAGCCTGTCGTAAGCTAACTGTTAGCAGGTGGAGTATGTGAATTCAACTGTTACCATGACGACTATGACCCGTTGTTAGCTAACTGTTAGCATGTAGAGTATGTGTATTGAACTGTTACCATGACGACTACAGCCCGTTGTTAGCTAACTGTTAGCATGTAGAGTATGTGTATTGAACTGTTACCATGACGACTACAGCCCGTTGTTAGCTAACTGTTAGCATGTAGAGTATGTGTTTGTGTATTCAACTGTTACCATGACGACTACAGCCGGGGGCTAAATGTCTACATTAGAGAGGCTCATTTATAACATGCTAGTTGAGATAGGTTTGTAAGGTTCAAACATCTGAAGCTAACTTGAAGATGGACGAGGAAAGAGACGACTTTTTGGTGTCAGATGGATTTATTGATTTATTCTTATCAAACCTGAGACGGTTTTTCGTTACTTTTAAATCTAATGAAGATGCTTCATCAACTAGGTGACTAGAAACTGAGCTAACTCAGAGGTGGAGTGTGTGTGTTGGGGGGGGGGTCTGTTTGTTCATGCTTTTCAGTAAAAAAATCACGTCTGCAAAAGTTCGACCAAGACAGGGTGTGAGCGTTCACGATGGCATGATGTGATGATGAGCAATGGTCAAAGATCAGGAATAAAGGACGGGGATGTGAAGGGAGGTGACATCACAGGTGACGATGGAGACGAAGTCTTTCCTCAGGAGATGTGGGGGCAGAGTGGGGGGAAGGGGGGGGCTTACCTTGGCTATGGGGGAGGAAGTGGTGTCTGAAAGGGGAGGTGGGGCGGGAGTCACTATTTCTGGAGCCCACACTGTTACTGCACAGGGAGGAGCAGAGCTTCTGCATGCCTGTCAGAGCCTCTGCAGGGTGGGCGGAGGAGGAGGAGGTGAGGGACGGGGGAGAGGACCCCCGGACCAGGCAGCGGAGGAGGACGGGTTGAGGAGGAGGAGGAGGTAGAAGGTGAAGAGGTGAGGGACAAAAGAAAAGGAATACAGGAAATAAAAGAAACACCCAAAGTGAGAGGTAAGAAAAGTGTTGAGGCCAGTTGACACCAAAGATTTACAACCAGACGAGATGAGCTGCTAGCTTCCTGAAACCTGTGAGGTTACACCGACGGTTTCTGCCTGTGTGGCCGATGTCACCTAAAGCTTCGAGCTGCAGGTTAGTGTGACTGTGTGACCGAGGCGCAGCTGAGTTACACACACATATAAAGAGCAGAGAGGCAGAGACACAGGATGTAGCGTTTGCACGCAGCGTCGCCTTATGAGATCGTTCCAAGTCAGTCAGTAGTTACACCTTAAATCTTTCACCCTAGCTCCTGGTAGGTGTGACGTCCTCTGCAAAATGCGGTTGTCATGGTGATGGTGTTAGACTTGGGAGGAGGACGAGGAGGAGCAGCAGAGGGTTTTAGCGTCTGTTTGATGTCAGCTGTGTGTTCTTTGTGATCGGCTACATCCCTCAGACTTTGTTTTTACTCCTGCGTTAGTTCCATGATGAGCCCACATAATTTAATTCGTCCAATCACAGAGGACTGTTGAATGACCTTGTGTTGTAGTTTAGGATTTCACCACTACATGTCACTGTAGATGAAGGCTGTAGGCTTTAGTCATCAGCTCATCATGATGCTTTGTCATATTGCATTGATAAAAATGCTGCTCTCTGATTGGTCACATAAAGTTCAAATCTCATTACTGCCACTATGTTTTGTTAGTGTGGCCGTATCACTGTACTAGTAAAGATTAACCTTACGTCTCCGTGGTAACCAAACAGTGACTCAACTGAAGTTAAGGCCCAATCACACAGAGACAAGGTGCAGCTGCTCCAAAAACACCTGAGCGCATCCTGGGGAAAAAACAGCTGAGAGCGCCTGGGAGACGAATTCAAAAAAGTGTGAACAAATGGAATCTGGCAAACGTAGAGTTCTCGCCGTCGCTTTGCTCTCAGACGAGGAGCGGGAAAATGTGAGGTAAAGCCTCTTCCTTGATTTGATTGGCTGCTTCAGCCAGAAGTGACATTGATGAGCGTTGCGACTCTGCGTCCTGAGCTGACATGTTTTTACTTTTACGCACCATGTCGCTTAGTAGTAGAGAAGAGAAAACAGTGACTATGCTAGCATTGCATTTCTAGCGACATGACTCTGTGTGATCGGACCTTAGAGCGTAACGAGTTTACACGTCAGGGTTTGGTGTCAACTTCACATCTCGACTTAGGACAGAACTCTCATGTAGCTCCTGCAACAGAACGCAGATGCATTCACCAAAATCTGCAGAAACTTTTGGAGTTGATTTAGTTTTGTCTTCAGAGCGTAACCTCTGTGGCTCAATCTGACAATGAAGTTTACATTTTCTTGTGACAGACTTAAAACTCTCTTCGTTCTTTCTACGGCTGCTGGCGATGTTGAAGGGTTAATTAAAAACAGTGAATCGTACTACCTGTTGAATAATCTGTTCACCTTTTCCCTACGATGATCGAGGACGGTTTAGGGTCATATCAAATCTTTGCTCTGAGCCGACACTTTTCAATCAAACTCTGAGACGGTTTTGTTAAAGGTGCAAAATTGACTTTAAAGTTGTTACTCAGTAAAATGAGGGATTTTCATTTCAAAGTCTTCAAAAGAAAAATAACATAACAACGGGAAGTCAATTTGATGCAGTTCTCCTTTAAACTGAAGAGAGAACCCTTCAGGTGGAGGGTCAGTGAACGCATCACGGACCTGGTCAGTGAACACATCATCGACCTCGTTATCAATCCCTGAAACACTGAAACCGTCTAAGTGTCATCTCTCACCTGGTCTGTGAAAATGCTGAGGGGATCGTGACAAGGTGGGGATGTAACCATGGCGATTATAAACAGGTGATCCTATGGAGCCCTGACTGGTGGACCTCTGGAGGATACGTTCCCTCCTGTCGTACGAGCCCTGACACACACAAACACAAGAACACACACACACAGAGAGATGATTCAACAGGCGGCGAGAAGCAGCACGACGTGTTCTTTATGATGTTTAAAGTCAATACAGATGACTTTAATATGATGACACGCTCACCTCACCAGGGGGGGTCGGCGACATGTTTCTTGAGGACTAAGAGAGAAGCAAACAAAACTGAATTATTTATTTATTTATTTTTGTCTATTTTTTTCCCCTCCAAACGTTTCTTTTTCTGTGCATTTTGACCTTTCGTACACAAACTGCATTTTAGTTCACTGAAAACACTCCTTTAGTAAAACTCCTTCCAGGGTGAAGTTGTTCAGATTTTTCGTTTAAAGGCAGGGTTGGAAATTTTCAAAAAACTAGCATGTGCTTGAAAGTAGCATTCGCTCAGTGCACCGTCTGCACTCACCCCCTCCCCTCTGTGCTCCCTCTAAAGCCACGCCCCCTCACTTACATGCACGAGCGCCGTTGCTCCAGAAGTGGACCTCAGCTCATCTCTTACATTGTGTAGAAACTACGTTGTCTCATGTCTTATTCAGCAGTAAGTAAACTCACAGTATAAACTCCGTCATCGGTGACGCACTTTGAGTGTGGACTAGAGCTCGCAAGAGGTAGAGAACGAGCAGGGAGACAGGGAGGCCTGTGATTGGTTCATCAGATTGGTACCTCGTGGCAGACATTGATCAAAGTTTTTACAGCTGACAACTGATACAGATGACAGATTTTCTTTGTTCCTTTTTCAGAGAACATGAGTTATTAATTTCTGTCAGGACCTAAAGACAATTTCAACCCAAATCTGAAAAAGTGGATCCGGAGGAAATGACCCACCCTGACTTTAAGGTGTTTCTGTGTAGACGGGGAAACAGAATTTAGTTCTTGTAACATCACGCTGTGCACCGGTTTCTCCTCCATTTGATGTCATCGTGCGGCGCTGTCACTTTAGTTTACGTGAGATTAGTGCGAGGGCAGACAAAACCAAATGTGCTAGCGATGCTAACTGGACTTTTTACACGCTGACACATACACACACAGTTACTCTCCCACTATGCTGACGAGCAGAGACACCTGATTGGCCGACGGAGGTCACAGCTGCTTCATACAACACTCTCACCACACAAACAGATATTTGGACGAGAACCTGGTTGGACAACTTTGAAAAGCGCAAAGCCATTCTCTCCTTTGTGTTTGAAAATTGACCATGACGAGCACACGGTGGCGTTAATCTCACCTTGTCATCAGGTAAAGGGGAGCGCTCCCTCCTGGCAGTGTGGAGCTGTGAGAGACACACAAGTTCAGCTCTGCATCAAAGAAACATCTCTCACAATCAGAACACACACACATTATTGAAACATGAAACGATCTTTTCTTCCAGAGTACGAGCCCACAGCTAAACAGAGGATCATTTGTTGGAATGGTTATCTTGATGCACGGTTCTGTTGGTGCATAAAGATGGCGTGCATGCAGGAGAAGAAGCGTGCAGCCTGTGTGTTTACCTCTCCCACACTCTCCTGTCTCTCGTCCCTCTCTTCCAGGGAGGTGCTGTACAAAGGTTCATAGGTAATAAGATCGGGGCGCTCAATGTCATAAATGGCTTTGACTTTGGGGATGGCAGCTAGGTCTCTGTAATCAAGGATCTCATTGTCTACTTTTGCCTAGGGAGACAAATAAAGACAGACATGCAGACACGCACAGGGATGAATACAGGAGATAGCTTTGGTAGAACTTATTGAGGTATAGCTGCAAAAAAGGGAGAGACAGATCTAAAGGCATGAAGAAGAACTCTGTTCAGTCTCTTACATAGATGGTGTGGCCCGGTGAGCCAGGTATGCTTGAACCAGGTCTGGAACAAATACTCTCGGACGACGACCTCGTAGGCTGTGAGGAAAAACACACACACACACACACACACACAGACACACACACGCGTGTCTGTTAGTCAAGGTTACATCAGTGTGTCACTCAGTCTCCCATAATCCACCACAGCTCTCAGCTGATCTATTTTTTTTAATCTATGTTGTGGTATCTTTCTATTTTTTGTAAATTTTTGCAGCAATTTTTGCTGCTGTAAATTTCCCCGTTGTGGGATAAATACAGGATATCTTATCTTAGCACCCTGCCCCCCCTCATGGTGTATCTACACTCTGTATGAGCGATGGGAGGGGGTTACCGCCCTGTGTTTACCTTTCATTAATAATCAGACGTACTTTAATGTCGTCTAATGATTCAGTCATTCATTTACAAAATGTGTAAAGTGAATGAGCTGCAGCGCTGTGAGTTCATGTTGTTAAGATGAGATGGAGAGTTTGGATGGCAGCAGCAGCGTGTTTCATTAAATATGAGTTCACTTTGTGTCTGATCTTCTCAATGTGTGCTCGTCTTTGTCTCATGCAACGCTGATATGAGCGAAGTCTACTTGCCTGTTTACACCTGGTGTTAACCGTGCGTTCCATTTGATCTCGGAAGTCAGAAATTTTCGAGTTACCGGTTTGCTACATCATCAGGAACGCCCACTAAAGTCGAGAACTCGAAGAGTCCCGTGTAAAAATCCAACATGGCTGCTGTACGTGCATCAACAGTAAGGTTTAAGCTCTACATTAAAGTGTTTATTAACAGCTCAGTCCTCCGTTTGTGAAATTAAATCGATCACACCGACAGCTTTATCTGTGGACATGTGTCCAGCGCCGAGATCAGAGGTAAATGGAACGCACCATAGAGCCACTATGAGTCAAACTCGTCACACTAGGGCATTTTACATAATTGTAAAATAATGATTTGGAACTAACAAATCGCATTAGTAAGAATTATCGCTGTTAATACGAAAAGTTCTTTATGTAAGCTTCTCACTGATTCTACCTAGAAATGTGGACTCTGTATTTGTGGGTCAGGACTTTCAGCAAGGGAAGTGTTCAGGTATCTGTATCAGACCGACCTGACACAGCTGGACTTCTACTCTTTACAAATCTGCATCATGATGTTTTCATTTCAGCAAACTTCAGAGCCGTTAATCGAGAGCAGATCACAAGAAGATGGCTTTATTTTGTTGTTGTTTATTAAGGCTCATATGGCCGCAGTGTGACAGATAAACTGATGTGTAACTTATAATAAACTGTTGAACTTTACTGAGATTCATCAGATGGGCGGGGCGTCACTTGTGGATTTTAGGGGCCGAGAAAAGACCGTGTTAACGTTGAGGACGTTAACGCTGCATGGAAAAGAAAGTCTTGGCTGGAGGTTTTTCAATGCCAACCGCTTCAGCATGATTACAGAGAAATGAACACCCGTCCCCAGAGGCTGATATCATCTATCAGACGGTTAGAGACGATGTTGGGCAAAGGGTTAATGGCAGGTGTAAACAGGAGCTGAAGGTGTTAAAAACAAGACTGAATGGCTCCTAATGAGACACAGAGAGGGCACTGCAGGCTGTCTCCAGCAGATGGCAGCATACAGTGCAGTGTGTCCAAATGTACATGGAGGAACACAGGATGATGCCATCTCATAGCCAATAGCGAATACAGTACCTGCCTTTGTGTTTTTTGGAGGAATAAGAGGGACGGAGGCAAGAGCTGTGGAGGAAGGGAGAGGGGGGGTTCACAGGACATCACACAGGGTGTCACCTCTGCAGCTCACACACACACACCGACATGTAAATACACACATTCACAGGTAGACTTATAAGCACACTGCAAAGACACACACACTCTCTCACACACACACACACACACACACACACACACACACACAACATGCAAATGATTCAAACCACAGCAGGTTAAAGTTTAACAGTTAGACAGGAAGCGGTCTGCAGACTCCTCCGAACATGTTCCCAGTAAAACTTTGTCATGAGAGGGGAACAGGAAGTGTCTTTCAGTAAAGAAAAAGTCATAGACATGGAGTCCGAGACGTTCAGATTCCTACCCGCTCCCTGTGTCTCTCCTCTGTTCTCGTCGTGTTTTTGCAGCCGGGATGCCAAACTGTCGACCCTGAGGAGGAAGAGACGGAGAAACACTCAGAACAAAATAATTAAAAATAAAACTCTGTTTTGTATTGTTTCCGTTTAAAGACGATGTTGTCGTCTTGGGTGTTTGTGATTTCACTCTTTTCTGACTGGCTGCTGCAGCAGCGTGTGGATATACTCTAACATCTACTACAAAGTTGATGTTTTATTCTTCAGTTTTTTGTGGCTCTTTTCTAACGTTTAAGTTGTGAAAGATAAGTAGTTAACATGAAACCGTGTGAAACATGTAAAGCAAAGATAGACGGTGACCAAACAAGTCCAACAAAAGGAAAGAAGCTTAAAAGAAATAAGTTTAGTTAAAGGAGCAGTATGTAACTCTAACCCCTAGTGTTTAAAATGGGGACTGCAGTCCAGATTCTAAACATTGTAGAGAGCTGTCTCCCCCCCTCCTCTCTAGAGTCGATGCTCATGCAGGTTCCCATGTGGTGGACACTGAAGCTTCAGTGTTTATCCAGCTCTGCATCGGTCTGTAAACCTTTCTGTGTTCTAACCTCTCTCCATTTTTCAAAAGCATCTCCAATATTGATCCTAGTTTGAGCACGTTTCTGCTCGTGGAGCTTATTAGAAACATGCAGAGGCTTTTTAGGTCGGGTACAATCACTTCTATCTGAACCACTTCTCTTGCCCGCTTCCATCGCTGCAACACCTGTTGGTTTGACCTGATAACTGCTCTCATATCTGACAAACCAAAGGGCCTCCAAAACGGCCATGTGGGGGTGTCTTAAAACCTCCTACCTTCTCTGGTCCAAACAAATCCAGAGCATTCAGGAGCAGAATCTAAAGTTAGAAGGAGGACATACTGGCTGCTGCATTGTTGTCAGTAGTGATGTGAAAAGCAGTTCTTTTCAGTGTACTGAATCAGTAGAATCAGTTCAGTAAAGTGATTCGTTCAAATGATTCGTTCACCGAATCGTTCAGTACTTCTCTGCAGCTCCGTCTGTGAATCAGAATTTAATAAACTGAAACACGGCCGAACGTTTAGTTCTGCTCGCGATCGTACTGAGAACAGCCGGTGGTGAATAATAAACCAATGAGCTGAGAATTTAGTTGGATAAAGCCACAGTTTGCAAACTGAAAGCTGCTAAAACAATCACATTTATTTTCCCCGACCGTTCTGTTTAGTACGTTCAGTACACAAATCACTCACTGACTGTCTGACTGAGAGGAAGAGAGAGGAGGCGCAGCTCTCGTTCAGTTCGTTCACTGAACGTACTGAGAGGGAGCGAGAGACTCAGAGCTCCCGTTCAGAATCAGTACACACAATCACTTTCACCAGTCAGTCAATGATTTGTACGATCATTAATTAATAACAATTAAGCTGGGTGTCGCGAAAATGTATGTGCTTGTTGTTATGAAGCTTTCAGTTTGCAAACATTATCATGACAATTAATTTAACTTAATATAGGCTACATGCAGAAAATATGCATGGCAACGAATATATCCTGTACCAGAACAGTTATATTTTAAATTATATAAGCAGATTTTTAAAATAATAATATAGGCTAATTTAGGCTACTTTGTCGGCAAGGGCTGCTTTATTTAAACAAACTATGATTATATATTAGGCAGCTTTGTTTAATGTCTTAACTGTAGATGTAAATGCATGGCCATGCACTGTAATTTATGTTTCTCACTTTTATTTTTTATTGTTTTCATTTTATCTAATTAAAAATAATTAATAACCTAATATTTATTTGCGTACATCTTTTATTTGCGTAGTGAAACCTAAAATATGAAAAACGAGTGGTGAAAGTGATTGTGTGTACAGGAGCTCTGAGTCTCTCTCTTCCTCTCAGTTCGTTCAGTGATTCACGTCGGAGCTCCCGTTCAGTTTGTTCGTTCAGTGAACGAACTGAACGAGAGCTCCGCTCTTCCTCTCACTTCGTTCAGTGATTCACGTCGGAGCTCCCGTTCACAGTACGTTCAGTGAACGAACTGAACGAGAGCTCCGCTCTTCCTCTCAGTTCGTTCAGTGATTCACGTCGGCGCTCTCGTTCAGTTCGTTCAGTGATTCACGTCGGCGCTCTCGTTCAGTTCGTTCAGTGATTCACGTCGGCGCTCTCGTTCAGTTCGTTCAGTGATTCACGTCGGAGCTCCCGTTCAGTTCGTTCGTTCAGTGATTCATGTCGGCGGCGCTCTCGTTCAGTTCGTTCGTTCAGTGAACGAACGAACTGAACGAGAGCTCCGCTCTTCCTCTCAGTTCGTTCAGTGATTCACGTCGGCGGCGCTCTCGTTCAGTTCGTTCAGTGATTCACGTCGGAACTCTCGTTCAGTTCGTTCACTGAACGTACTGTGAACGGGAGCTTTGAGACACGAGACGGAAGAGAGGAGAGGGCAACTGAAGTTGAGAAATGAACGACTCTTTTTAGTAAGTGATTCAGTTCAGTTCGTTCATCCAGATGATTCGTTCGTTTTGAACGAATCGTTCATGACCGACACATCACTAGTTGTCAGAGAAGCCAGCACTTCAACATAACATGTTTCCTTAATGTCTGATCATATAGTAAGATACCTTTATCATTTCAGTCACTACACATCTCACTGATTGGACCTTTGATTGTGTAACAAACATGGTGTGAAGATTTTAGTCATGATGATCTTTCAAGTTCAAATGTTGCATTTCAAAATAAATGTGGTGCTTGAATTGTGCTGCAATTCTACACTAAAAAATATAATAAAATAAGTGAGACACAAAACAAAAAGCACAGGGTAACAAGGGTCACTGAATAACTGAAGTATGGAAATAATGCTTATCAGTCACGAGGGCTCAAACAGTTCACCCTGTAGGCAGCACTCGTCAGCGCTGAAAGAATTCATGAGTTCATGTCGTTGTCTTCCTCTCAGTTATTGTTTTTGCTGCTGAGCAGCAGCAAAAACCCCAAGGCACCGACGGAGACTCAAAGAGAGACAAAGTACAAACACTAACAGATGCATCAAAGAGAACCATCGATGAGTCAAATCTGGGAACCAGTCGAGCTAACAACATCCACATCCTGTAGAATCTGCTTCCAGGTCTTTCCATTTAGATTTAAAAACATTTAAGGACTCCAGCTCCTCGAGCTTTCAGTCGTTCTGAGACAGATTCCAGGCTGAGGCTGCAGAACACCTGAAAGACCTTTTCTTAGTTTCTGTCCCAGTGTTTGGGACATTGAGCGTGAAGAGGTCCTGAGGACGCAAAGAATCCTGACTACTACTTTTCTGCATGACAAAAACACAGAGGTGTGTGAGGGAGCAGACAGCCTTAAAGGTGAACCAGTGTGTGAGCCTACGGGTCGCCAAAGCACGCCATCCTACCCAACAGTCCACCTCACAATGAGTCAGAGCGT